ATTGGTACTTATAGGGAAGGGAGGCCTTGAATTCCAATCTCCCATCAATGTGGGAGAGTTGGTAAAATGCATTTTATTCAATTTAATTTAATTCAAAAATCAAATTGAAATGAAAATGAATCAACGAACGACAAGTGTCAAGTCGTGAGCAAGGGGTTAGGTGAGGACCACAAGGGGGGGACCACCCTCCCCATGCTCCCCAAGCAAACCCTCACACAAGCTCCCACACGCACTAGCTGTCACATGCACATGCTGGTTGGCAGCCTGCCTAAGCTGCCAAGGGAGCCTCGCTTGCGCCTAGAACCATAGATGGCCTTCCTGCCAGCCCACATATGCCTACGCACAGCCAGCATGCCATGCACGCTATGCGAGCTACTGCTACTGCTGCGTTGCTTATGCTAGGAAGTGCCTAGTTGTTGTTATGCTTGTTGTTTAGAACAAGGCCCAACACGCTAGCACGCATGGCGCGCTAGCTTCTAGCTTGCGTGCGACAAGGTGCACCAGCCCCGCAAGTATGCTCAACCAGCAAGCCTAGCACGCACATGCATGCTTGGCTTGCGGCACAGCCATGCGATGCGGTTGGTGCCCTATGCTAGTCTAGCCTTCGCATGGCTTGGTCAATGCAAAGCTACTGCTTAGCTTAAACTTGTCGTTTGCTTGATTTCTCGTCTCGTCGAATTCTAAATTCGACTCGACTTACGACGCTCGTTTCGACGCTCTAAGCTCGATATCCGACGTTTTTTGTTCGTAATACTCTAATGGCTCATTTAATCCTTCGGATTAATTCGTCGTTTCGGTTCGGTTACTCGATTGGGTGTGACCCGAAGGGTTCAGTCAAGATTAAGATAAAATATTAATTATGCATTAATATTATTGATCGAAAGCGGCCTCCAGCTAGGCATTCAATCATTTGACCTCACTTAATAATTACCTTTCTAATAATTCCGAACCCTCTATTGGAATAATACACATGTTTGAAGGACACCATTCCTTTCAGTAAATGGGGATTATAACGGCAACACTCGGGCGGCTAGGTCCTCTTAGTAAGGGAAGCCAACAGTACAAGATAAGGAATGTCCCCCTATTAACAATAGGGAACATGTATTTGTTGTTTACTAGGCCTCTCAAAGAGCGAGACTATGAAAATGCATGGCCGTGCTCAGATGGATTTTTGAAATCATTTGCTTATTGACAGTCGAACTCGGAAATCGAGAAACAATTCTCGACGTAATAAGGATGACGGAGAATCTTACCTTATAGTTCATTAAGAGACATTAAGTGAAATAGGAAATAGGCTATACACTAATAGCGCACTTGTCCGGAAGGACAAGTGGGAGATTGAAAGTAATGGTGTCCTTCGAACAAGTGTATTATTCTGATAGAGGTTCTGAATTATTAGAAAGCTAATTATTCAGTGAGGTCAAGTGATCGGAATGCCTAGTTGGAGGCCGCTTCCGATCAGTAATATTAATGCATAATTAATATTACAACTTAATCTTGACTGAACCCTTCAGATCACACCCAAGCGAGCAACCGAACCGAAACGGCGAATTAATCCGAAAGATTAAATGAGTCATTAGAGTATTATGAACAAAGACGTCGGATATCGAGCTTAGAGCATCGAAACCGAGCGTCGTAAATCGAGTCAAGTTTAGGATTTAACGAGACGGAAAAATCAAGTAAACGACAAGTTAAGCTAAGTCGTAGCTTCGCATTGTCCTAGCCATGCAAAGGCTAGCTACCATACAACACCAACTGCAATACATGGGTATGCCGCAAGCCAACATGCATGTGCGTACTAGGCTTGCTGGCCGAGCATGCTTGCGGGGCTGGTGCACCTGGCCGCCCGCACCGAAGCATCGTAGGGCAAGCACGGGCGTGGCAGCATCTCGCTCATGCGGCAGCAACGCCTAGCAAGCATGCAGGCCATGCGAGCAGCAATGCCACACAACACAAGGCCCAACACGCAAGCTGGCCTGTGCGTGTGCTGGATGTGCCACACAGCAAGGTTGGCAGCCAGTCAAGCCTTGCGCCAATGCCCAGCCACAGCACTTGCGTGTGGGAGCTTGTGTGTGTGGGAGCTTATGCGTGTAGGAGCTTGTGTATGTGGGTTTGCTTAGGGAGCAAGGGGAGGGTGGTCCCCTTCTTGTGGTCCTCACCTAACCCCTTGCTCACCGCTTGACACTTTTTGTTTGTTGATTTATTTGCATTTCAATTTGATTTTTGAATTAAATTAAATTGAATAAAATACATTTTACCAACTCTCCCATATTGATGGGAGATTGGAATTCAAGGACTCCCTTCCTTATAAATACCAATCATTTAGCATTGGGAAGGGACACTTGAGTTGTGAACTTTAAGGGATCTCCAAGAAGGGAAAACCTTTGTTCTAATACTCTAAGTTCTTTTGGTCTAGCCCCGACTAAGCTTCGGGGTAGGGGCCGTTCTGGTCGGGTCTCGAGGGTAAGAGCTGTTGGAGGCTTGAGCATTTGCGGAGCTTTACGCTTTCAAGTTCGACCTCTAAAAGGAGCGAAGCATGCATCAAGGGTATGATAGTCTTCTCTCTCTCTTTGTTAATTAATTATGTGATTGTTAATTAATATGCATGTTTAGTTACTTTAATTTGTGTGCGGATTTTGGGAGGGTTTCATTCCGCGTAGTGTTGGACACTACGAAACCCAACACAATGTTGAGTACATAAGCGTAAACAATAGCGTAAATAGTACACACTAACATGCTTTCATCCTAACAACACACATCTTACCTTGTACACCTATTACAAGCATACAACATACAACACAATCAACCAATAAATAAATAAATAAATTGCTTATTTAATTTTATTACGCATCGAACGGGTTCCCATCAAATCCCTGCCCCAAAGAATTAGGGTAAACTACACCAGGAGCTAACCGGGTAGGTAAATGTCACATGAAAATGACGGACGTCCTGCGCATAAAATAATAAAACGAAAATAATGCGTCATGTACTCCCAGTAGAAGCTATGGTTAAATATAAAACCTCATAACTCCCCCCATATGTTCATACTCAAGGTATATACGTTCCAAGAGTCTTGGTGCACAATCTCTTTCACTTTACGTTGTTTACATATTTTTAGACTTGGTGATGACTCTCAAACCATAACACAATCAATCATAATAATCATTCAAGCAATCAAACATACAAATTTAATTCTTGAATAATTAGTGACCACATAAATTTAATGTTGAACCCTTTACAAACTACCTCGGCGTTAAATAACACCTTAAGCACATAAAGCACCACAAATCCTATCCCTCAATGTTTAGAACACCTTAAGTGAACTTAGGCACCGCAATATATTTTATTCATGTGTACTAAGACACTTAATACCTCAATTCCCATGCTTAAAGCATCAATAAAAATTTTATGAACCATAATAAAATTCCCTTTTTATATTCCAAACCAAATCAAACATTTAGTTTAATTAAACATGCTCTCAATCATGCCAATAGTAAAAGTGTGATTCATAATCAACATGCCAACATAATTAATTCCAATCATCAATTCACCACAAATAATCCATACTTCACCAATCAATCACCAACATCAATCCAATCAACAATTCCAACCAATACCTATCATGATGCTATCTTGGAATTAATTAATCAAAGCCTAACATGCTTCTATACACTTATATAATTACCGAGTACGCGAACGTACCTCGAATATGATCTCAAAATCGCCACAACTACACGAAATCACTCACTTAGAAATCTCCTTTAGGTATTCTCCACCTTGGGCAAAGTCTAGTTTGCTCATAAGATGGGTATTTATACCCTTCTCAAAACGCTCCTAACTTAAATTCCCTTTCTACCCTTAATAATTCATTCTCCTAATCAAACTAGTCATTGAATTTCTTTAAAATTCCACTGACCTTAGAACTTCCTTTTATAAAATAATTATGCCCCAAAGTTTACCAATAATAAAATAAAATATTTTTAAAACAATTAAATAAATAAAAATGGACTTTTAATTAAAGGGGAAATTCTACATGGTGGCCTCATGAATTTAACTTTTCTACGTGAAAGACGAACTTTTTTCCAACTCTCTTTAGTGGCACCAAGGTTTAGTAAAATTGGCCATAGTGGCCTTTTTTAGGTTTATGGCTAACCTTTTTAGTTAAAATGGTTAACCTTTGATTTTTTTTATTAAAAAATTATTTAAATTATATTTTAAAAAGTAAAAAAAAGTAAAAAAAAAAAAAACAAAAAAATTCCCAAATATTCCTAGCCACCCAGCCCCAGCAGCCCCTTCCCTTCCGGCGTCCACCAGCCACCTCTCCCCCACCCCCACCAACGCCAGCGCCCAGCTCCACCTTCGCCGGTGCGCCGGCCTTCGATCCCCCACCTCCAACTCCTCTCTTTCTCCCAATCTCGAGCCCAGCCACCCACCTTCCCCGATCACCCCCACCCCTCTGCGGCCCCTCATACTCTCTTTTCCAGTTTCCGACCACCCCCACCCCTACCCCCCTGTTGACTGTTGCTCCCCCTTCCCCTCCCTTGTCCAGTTTTCGACTACCCTCGAAATCGAAAAAGGGGTTCTGTTATTCTAGGGGGGCGAGCTGAGATTTCGGTGTCGAAAGAGGGTAGGCGGCAGCCGGAAACTTTTGTAACACTAGCAAAGTATGTAACATTTGGTTGTAACACTTTTATATTAGGTATCACTTTGTTGTAACACTTCAATATTAGGTATCACTTTGTTGTAACACACTGATATTATGTATCTCTTTGTTGTAACACACTAATATTAGATATCACTTGGTTAGTTGTAACTCTTTGATTGTAGCACTTTGGTTGAATATCTTAGTAATGATACGATGTATATAGTAGCACTACTTTAGCACTTTTACTATTCAATACAATAATACTAATTTAGTTTGGCGCTAATCTCATAAAAAAAAGTATTACTGCTAATCCTAAATTCTGTAAATTAATTAGTTTGGCGCTATTAATACAATTAGATAATAAAAAAGAATCTCATAAACTTTCCATTACTAAAAGAAAAATTGATACAAAGTATTTAGGTTTTCGAGAAAAAATAAGAAGCACATTACAATTTGGTCTTCTTGTCTACGGAGTACTTTGGTATCATCTCTTCTTGAAAACATCCTCCAATTGTGATTTTTAAGAACGAATTGGTTAAACTAACCCATCAATATTTTTTGGTAATCTAGTTAAAGTTTACCAGAGAAGGAAGAATTTGCTTGTTTGATTGGAATTCGGCCCTTCATCATCTTCTTCGTTAAATTGCTGCTCTGAATTACAGGTAATTAGCAAATATTTTGAAATAATTAATTTGATGTCTTGATTTGATAATTTGTAGTATTGTATATTATTTTTGGGGATCATCTCATGTATTGTTATAGTTAATTTGCACAATTTACCAACGAATTTGCTTCCCCTTAATCAGTCTTATTGATTGTCCCCAATTTAGCTATTAGATTGTTTTTTTATGGGTTATGAAATTTTATTAGTTATGTTTGATGTATTAGAATATTTTTATACATTGATTTGATATTAGGTAAGTAGTATTTAATCGTTAATTTCTAAGTCTATAGTGTAAACTTGGAACACATTATGCATGTCAGTAATTAAAGATCAGAGGAGTAGGATTTGTGGGTTCATGCTATGAAATTGGTTTTTAACAAGTAGTTAGTTTCCAATATTTTGTTATTTTAACAAATTTTAGGTTTATGCAAGTGGGTATATTGGAAATCTAGAGAAACTTTATTTTCAAATTTGATGATGATTATGATAAGGTAATATAGGTGAGAGATTTTAGTTATTGTCATTCCTTTTAGACATGTTTTTACCAAGAGACTTTTTTTATGCCGAGGGGCAATCTGAACACACATATATGAATGAAGTTCGTGAACCCGCAGAGGCTGTAATTCTGGCTACAAATCATTATGAACACCAAAGTTGGTGCAGAGAAGATGCTTGTGATAGAGTTGAGGTGCCTGTCAACACTGAAATGAGATATCATAATCACGAAGATAATTCCGATATAGATGACACAGATTGGGATTGGATGGAACCATCAAAGTGACATGTTTAGACCGTTTTTTTTAGAATAATTATCCTTCATTTGAACTTATTATTTGGATTTGACCAACTTTTATTGAAGTGTTCTATTTTTATATTTGAACTTGTTTTCTAATGATATTTATAAGTTAGTGGTTAAATTTAGTGTGGTGCTAATGAAATTTATATGTACTGCCTGATGCAAGTGTGCTATATGTATTACCTTTCTACTCAATCTTGCTTGGGTCAGTCAGGTGAATATGAAGTCAAGGCTGAAAATCTTGTGCTCCAAACCCAAACTTAGTGAATACAAAATCTTTACTTTGCTTGATCTGATTGTTTGAAGGCCTAGGTCCTGTAAAAATACTACATAGTATCATCTAGGGTAAATCTTTACTCTTTATATCCAGAATAGATGATTTATTACCTATATCTTTGAAGGCAACTTCATGCGCAACAACTGTTATACTAAGCCCCAAACTGTGATTGAGCTATAACTGTATTTGAAATGGGTAATCTGCATATTAATTTCGATTCTTAAACTACCAAATTTGGGGATATGCATTCTTTGATTGGTATGAATGTTGTGTTTAATTCAGGAATAGCCAAGTGGGGGTATATATTTCTATTTTCCTTAATCTATGTTTCCTGGTAAGTGTAAAATATTAATGATTGAGAAGTGACTGACTGTAAGTTGGATTTTTGCATATGTATATTTGGCTGAATAGTAGTCACCTAATACAGGTGAATTAATAATAATAGCCAAGTTTATGTTTCCTCACTCTTCCTTTAACTTTATACTTGTAGCTTTTATACTGTAGTTAGGTAGATGAGAATTAAGATTGTGTTTACCCAACTCATGTTCTGTCTGCTTTTATAAATTGATTGATCAGTTCATAGTGTTGTCTGTTTTTAGCTTTTCATTATTTAAGATCTAATTTAGTTGGATTGTATCATCTCTACTCCAATGCTACTCCAATGTCTATCCAATGATGAATGGTTGCTAATTGGAAGTCTTATACCTTTCATATCTCATAGATGATTGGTAGTAATGGCATGCTTGTAGATTGTGTTAGATCAATTAGTTGCTCTAGAGCCTGGTTTTACTCTTGTTACCTCTAAAGGATTTTTAGGCATAGTGCTCTTGTTTTAATATATCATGTGATGTAATGTACTAATGTAGAGTAAATTGTGAGCTATGATTGTGTGCTGGATCACCAGAACTTCTCTATGGAACCAATCCCTGACATCTGACAGCTTGGAAAGATATATAGCCTCTTCAGTATTTTCTGTGGTTGGTGAAGTTGCAGTCGTCAATACTCATAGTGTGACAGCCACATCTTCACATAATGTTTCATGGGCTTCCAGTTATTGTTTTATTAAGTGCATGAATTCTGAATTGCCATAATTAATATCAAGATCATTTCTTACCCTTGCATAGATTTACTACTTATATCTGTCACAGTGAGCAGATTTTATGAATTTTTCAGTGTGTTTTCTAACCGTTTGGCTTCGTTTTACAGCCTTGGTTAATGGTTATTGAATATTCTCATTATGGATTTTTAGGCATAGTGCTCTTGTTTTGATATCCGGTCATACTTGAAAGGTTTTGTTTTAAACTGGGTGTATTGCTTGCTGAGGCTTTTATCATTTTTTCAGTGTAGTGGGCATACTTGATCTCAGACAAAATAAATGGTAATTCTACTCTGAAAATCAGGACATAGTTTTGTTCTGGCCACTCTCTTTTGAGGTAAATCAGGAAGGTGGAATTAGCAATGTAAACTTTGAACATCAGGGTAATAATCTGTTAGGGGTCTGATACTCTGAAAATCTATTTGTCACCAATAATGTCCGTCAACTAACTGTCTTGTGTGTTCTTTGTAGGAAGCAAGATCTAGATGGCAGAATACGAGAAACTAAGATAAAAAACTATAGAACAAAATAGAATCAGGATGAAGGATTTAGGGGTTACATCCATCGCTTATGAAATGAAACAGTTGATGAAGGGATCGAAACAAACGAAAAAAAGGAAGAAGGTGACTCATGTACAACGAAAGTCGTAAAAGGAAAGAAGACAAAAAATACAAAACATCTTATGAGCCCACCCAAAGTAACATTGTAAGTCCTATTGTCTCCATATTTTTCAGAATATGATTATTTGTCTCAAATTAGTTGTTTATTTGTTATATTTCCATTATAGGACAAGATGGAGGAGGTACAAATTCAAAGTGAAATTGATGGAGATGTTGCATACTATGAAGTAATGAATAAACCAAATAACTTTGACCATTGAAAAAAGCAATCGGGGATATGTTCACTAAGGGGAAAGAGCAACAAACCAATAATTCCCGATGAGTTCTTAAAGCCCTATAAAGACCAAATTGTGAAAGAAACTGTAGCAGAATTAATGAAGACGCTCAAGCAAATTGATCCCGAAGTGTTGGATACTTTGACTCGGTCACTTAAAAATATGTCATCCAATCCAGAACTTACAGATCATATTCCTATTGTACACTCTAATGAACAACAGCGAAATGAGGTAATGGTTAATATATCATCTTTTAAAAAGCACTAACTCTTACTATCGCGTTATTCCATTTTTGTTCTAGTTGTTTGATATATGTTGCTTTCACACATAGGTACAATTGGATCAAGATGAAGAATTAGGATAGCAATTGATGATGCTACGAGAACTTACTCTTACCGTTGTTTTGCTGCTGCTACCGTTGTTTTGGTGCTGTTTTTTTTGCTGTTACTGCTGTTTTTTCGCTGCTATTGTTGTCTGATTTGTTGCTAACTCTTGCTACTTTGGTTTGTTGCCACTGATCTCTGCTACTACTGGTTGCTGCTAACTCCTGTCTGCTACTGCTGGAAGCTACCATTCCTGTCTGCTACTGTTGGTTGCTGCTAAAGACTGCTGCTAGCAGCTTCTGTTACTACTTCTGCCATTCTGCTAGCTGCGTAGCTGTTGCCGTTCTGCTAGCTAGCTGATGTGTAGCTGCTGCTATACGTTGTTATTAATGCTCTTTACTGTTATCGCCGACTTTTTTGAAATTTGGAAGTTTTTGGTTTTTCCTTACTTTTTCCAAGTTAGAGATCGAATTTAATTTTCTTTGTGTTTGGATTATTATATTGTTTGGCCAAACATTAAAATTGGTGTTTATGGATTTTTTTTTGTAAGAATTATGAAAGTATTTCAATCCAAATTGTTTTCTATCATATGAGTTGATTTCTTATTCATATAGTTGTTGTACATATAAATTTATTTATATTTAAAAAAAATAGTAAATGTTATAAATGTTACCTATTAATGAATAAAGTGTTACATTAGCTTGCAAAAAGTGATACACAATGTCGAATAAAGTGCTACTATATGTCAAAACATGATTGAAAGATGTTACCTAATAATCAACAAAGTGTTACATTAGTTTGAAAAAGTGATACATAATGTCGGATAAAGTGATACTATATGATTGAAAAATGTTACTAAAGATAAGTAAGTGTTACATAAGAAATAAAAAGTAACACTTTAAAAATGATATTAAAGATATAAAAAAGTGTTACATAAGAGGTGATATAGTAACACTTTTAAAAGTGTTACCATACGTTTGCCAAAGTGTTACATAAGACCTTAGGTAACACGGGCGGATGTATCACCCACTAAACTGTTACCTATTGTCTATAATAACATTTTTACCACTTTATGTAACACTTTTTGGGTGTTACTTGAGGTTAGTTTTGTACTAGTGAAATTGAAAACGAAGAGAGAGAAATTGAGGACAATAAAAGGAGGTTGGCAGGGGTGCGTGGTCAGTCGTGGCTGCCTGGGTGGAGGGGATCGGAATTAATGGAGAGTGAAGGGAAAGAGAAAGGAAGGAGGGAGGAAGGAGGAGGGAATGGGCTGTCGAAAATTATGGAGGATGAGGGAGGTGGGCTGCTCGAAAATTGGAGGTCGGGGGTTGGGATGGGAGGTGGTTTCGGTGGTCGGAAGTTAGCTTGGAGGTGGTTTCACTGGACGGGAGTTGGCTGGGAGGTGGTTTCGATGGTCGGGAGTCGGTGGCTGGCCGGATTCCAGCAAGGTTAAGGTTAGCGGGGTGGCTGGGAATTTTTTGGAATTTTTTGTTTTTTTTTTTTTACTTTTTGTTATTTTTTTATTTTATTATTTTAAAACATAATTTAAATAATTTTTTAATAAAAAAAAAAAATCAAAGTTTAACCATTTTAACTAAAAAGATTAGCCATAACATAAACAAGGCCACTATTGTCAAATTTTCTAAACCTTAGTGCCACTGAAGAGAGTTGGAAAAAAGTTCGTCTTCCACGTAGAAAAGTTAAATTCTTGAGGTAACCATGTAGAATTTCCCTAATTAAAATAAGTTTTTAAATTATCAAAAAACCATCAATAATTCATTTTGAATTATTTAAATACTTCATAAAATAATGTTTTAAATTAATATACATATAAAAATACGGACACCCTACCCCGCCTAGTCTAGCAGTGTAATACCCCGTATTTTTATAAATATTTTAATTTAAAACATTATTTTATGAATTATAAAAATAATTCGAAATGAATTATTTATGGTATTTTATTAATTTAAAAAGGTTTATTTTAATTATTTAATCGTTTTGGAAATATTTAATTTTATTATTTAGAAACTTTGGGGCATATTATTTTAAAAAAGGAAGTTTTATGGCCAATGAAATTTTAAAGAAAGTCAATGACTAGTTTGAATAGGAGAATGAATCATTAAGGGTAGAAGGAGAATTTAAGGTAGGAGAGTTATGGAGAGGGGGTATAAATACCCATCCTATGAGCAAATTAGATCTTACCCAAGGTGGAGAATAACCAAAGGTAAACTCTCTCTCTCTCTCCTCTTATTTTCCCTTCTCCCTCATAACACTCACACGCACACACATCAAGGTGGCCAACCGCCACCACCACTTCCCACCGGCCGGCCATCGCCGCCAGCAGCAACCGGGAGCAGCAGCCGCAAGCGTGGACGGCGCCAACAATCCTTTCCATGTGCGTGCGGTTATGTTAAAAAAAAGAAAGAAAAAAAAAACAAAACAAACTCTCTCTTTCTCTCTTTTGTTTTAAATTAATCCAACTTTGATTAATTATTGATTTTGGGTGTGTGTGATGATTTATGATGTTTTAATAATGATTATTATGTATATAATTTTCAGATTTGGTTTTTTAATTAAAAAGCCCCAAATTGAAAACCCTAGGTTTCTAAGTTAATATTTATTGATGGGATTTGATTGTAGTTGATTAAAACTATTGAAATTAATGTTTTAAAACAAAATTACAGCAAGTTTATGAGTTTTTATAATGCTGGAATTTTTATATAAAGGCTAGAATTATGTTTCTTGAAATGATTTTAACTACCCATTATTTGGGAATACAAGTAGGTGGTTTAAATTAATTTCCAGCATGTTTTAGAAGGTTTAAAAATGATTTAAAGAGTGTATATATTGCTGGAAATATATTATGAATAGGTATTAATGTCTCTTTCTAATTTTGGGTTGTAGGAGACTTCCAAGTGAGTGATTTCGTGTAGTCGTGACGATTTTGAGATTATATTCGAGGTACGTTCGCGTACTCGGTAATTATTTAAGTGTGTAGAAGCATGCTATGCTTTGTTTAATTAATTCCAAGGTAGTATCATGATAGGTATTGGTTGGAATAGTTGATTAGATTAATTTTGGTGATTGATTTGTGAAGTATGAATTATTAAGGTGAATAGTTGATTGGAATTAATTATGTTGGCATGTTGATTATGAACCACACTTTTGTTTAATTAAACTAAATGTTTAATTGAGTTGGAAATATTAAAAGGGAATTTTATTTTGGTTCATATAATTTTTATTAATGCTATAAGCATGAGAAAGGAACTATTTAAGTGTCTACGTACACGAGCATTAAATTGTATATTGGTGCCTAAGTGCACTTAAGGTGTTTTAAATACCGAGGGATAGGATTTGTGGTGCATTATGCGCTCAAGGTGTTATTTAACGCTGAGATAGTTTTAAAAGGGTTCAACATTAAATTAAATGTGGTCACTAATTATTCAACAATTAAATTCAAATGTTTGATTACTTGAATGATTTATGTTGATTGGTTGTGTTGTGGATTGAGAGTCATCACCAAGTCTAAAATATATGTAAACAACGTAAAGTAAAAGAGATTAAGTACCAAAACTCTTGGAACGTATAAACCTTGAGTATGAACATATGAGGGAGTTATGGGGTTTTATATTTAACCATAGCTTCTACTGGGAGTACAGGTAAGTTGTATGTTGATAGGATGAAGCATGTTAGTGTGTACTGTTTACGCTTACGTACTCAGCATTGCTGATTGTGTGTTTGTATGTTTGTTTGGCCTTGCCTTTATCTTGGCCCTACGACGACCAATTGCTAATGGCGAGTAGTGGGGACAAAGTAAAGAGAAGCTTTTCTGGTGATGAAGAATGTTCATGATGGGCATGAGTGAAGAGCGATTCCTGTTTAGTTTCCATAAGAATATGATGTGTTTTATTCGCTTAGATTATTGTATATTTTCTTGTGAGACTAATACAAAGGTTTTAATATCCGTTTGGGTTTTGATAAGGGTCTACAATGGTTCCAAGTTGTAGGTTGACTTCGTTTGACTTGGGTTTGACTTTACTTTCGTTTGGTTTGACTTTTTAAGGTGACTTGTTTTGAATAGTTTTAAAGTGAGTCTTCTGCTGTGTGTCTTTGATAATCGTCTTAGCCGTTATCATGGTGGCGATAATGTCTTAAAATTTCTTATTTTGTATTTTAAAAGAGCAAAAGAGGTATTTTAAAGGAAAGGCATTTCTAGGATGTTACAAAGTGGTATGAGAGCCAGGTTGAGATTTTTATCACCAATAAAGCCAAAAACGTGTTTTAAAATATTTTGCTTTAAACTTGGCCAAGTGTTTAAATTAATGAGTTATTTTACAAAGTAAGTTATTTTATTTTTATTCTACGTGATTTAATTTTTTTAAGAGGACAAAAAATATTTTACTATTTTTGTAATTGGTCCGAATTTTTTTTAAAATTGAAAGTCCGAATTTTTTTTGTAGGGAGGTCCGAAATTTTTTTAAACGGAGGGGTGTCTAAATTTTTTTTTTTAGTATTTTGGCCGAAATTCTTGGCCTGTTCGGAATTAATTTTTGAAATTTTTTTTTTAAAAAAAGAAGGGAGTCAAAAATAAATATTTTTAGTTTGTTCATTTTGCAGGAAAGCAAAGGATTAAGGTAAGAATTATGTGTTAAGAGCTTTAAAAGCATGTTTGTGAGCTTGGGTAGGAAAGAATTTGGGGCATATGAGTTAGAATTATCCATGTTCTTGTATGCATTAATATTTAGGTTGTGATATTTGATCATGTGGAATTAATTGGAACCATGTAATTATATGACTAGAAATAAGTAAGATTGTTTGATTGAACATTGAACCTAAATTCATGCAAGAACTGTGTTATTTTATTTTCTTTGGAGAAGGGAATTCTTTTCTAAGTCTTTTCCTTTACCGGATGCCGATCTTTCCTAGCAAATACTCACAAATTGGTACCCTAATTAAGAAAGAATTTGACATCCCTTTGACTATGTCAAGAAAATTCGTTTATATTGTTCAAACATGAGTGATGTCCTAGGGGACAAGCAGTATGACCTTCCTGATCGTGTTTCAACTATGATAATTCATTGCCTTCCTAACGAACCACCATATCTTGCTATCAAAGCAAAATTTGCTAATTTCTACTTGCCTGGGGACATTCCCAACTACTCCAAATACAAAGATTATTATGGACAGTGGTACCCTGACTACATATACTTGATTTTTTATCTCGTTTGAGTTGAGAAATATCATTGCGAGCACTTACGTATTCCATAACCAAATTATTACTATGATAACCCAACAGGGAATAATTCCCCTTCCGCTAGTCATCAATTAGGAAATTATTCTCCACCACAGGGTAATGAAGTAGGAACAGATGGAGGGCAAGAGGAAGGAGAGCTAATGGATGAGAGTAACCATATTGTTGATAGTTCCATTATGGAGATTCCAAATCCAAATCCACCCCCAACTCCAATTATAATTGACATTTCATCTGACGGTGAGGAAGATGAAGAGTTCATTCAAGTAGAGCAAAATCCAGAGACACCTGAACCAATGGAGGAGGAAGATGACCCTGAATTCGATCCTGGAA